TTCCAAAATTAATTGGGATGAAGAGTATGTAGGAAGAGAGAAAGCTTAAATTCCCCAAACCAAGGGAAGCCCCCCCTCTCTCTTTCAATTCATTTCCTTTTTTTCTTCCTTGTCCCAATGTTGAAAAGCAGCACTACCCAGTTCCATGAAAAGCTTGAGAAGCACTAGATGATAACAACTTGCCCACAGAGCTCCAGGACTGAGTATCCCATTGTATTGTAGCAGCTTTGGAGAGAAGTAAAAGAAAGGGGCACACAAAATATTCAGAAAAATAGTTTGTTGTTTGTTTAATTTTATGTGCTCAGGGCTCTAATTGCTAAGAACAAAAATAAATAAAATTAGAAGGGCTATCTACAATTATTTGTACTCCCTACAATGCACACTGTGCTTTCTCTAGCTAGACTCTAAGTTCTTGGAGATCATCGACCACATGTTCCTTTTGTAGGCTCTAAATCATCCAGCAAAGTGAGTAAATGGTATCTGTTTAAGAAATATTGTTGATGCGCTAATTACTAAGTATTTAGCTATTTTTCCTCCCTGGCAAATTTTCAGGAATGTCTATTATTCACAAAACCAAATCAGAGTCTTGGAAGCCAAAAGGAAGTATCCATCTGTTGGTATACATTTTCCCTTAGCTATGCATTATACAGAGATTTCCTTTGGAAAAATAAACAAAGGATGCCTGATGAGCCAGGACAAAGAACTAAATATAGAGTTCAAGTGGCCAGAGTATCAAGGTCAAAGCATGCCCTTCCTTAACCAGATTAAAGAAGAGTTATGGGTCTGCCTCTACCTCTTTCTCATGTTCTCAATCCCCAAAGAAAATTAGGTTCAATGGCTTATTTACTGAATTCTGAAAGTGGAGCAACAACTACAATAAGATACAACTCAGCTAATAAATCTGTGGTGATCTTAATCTTTGTTTCTGTAATAAAAAGAAAACGTCAGCTTTGTTTACTTTCTGAGGAGAACAGAGAAAAGAGAGAAAAAACTAGAATGGCGAGGCAGTATTTATGGGCTCTTTATGAAAAGTCAATCTGTAATTTGAAAAAAAAAAAAAACACTCGCAGACAATAAGGAAAGGGAACAGGTTTGGCAGGAATATAGCCTCTTCCAGTTTTCTCAGAAGTGCCTTAGTTGGTATTCTCCACTATCACCCAATGTGAAATGCTTAAATTATACTGTGAATACAGTCATTCCTTATAGACAAATCTGGGTAAGATAAAATGTAAAAAAATCCAGACACCATTCAGTGTCTGGCTCTTATAATTAGCATTATCCTACGATTTACTTCATTTTATAAAGTACTTATAAGTATTTGTGAACTCTCATGTCTTTTCTTTAACTGCATTACTAATCCTAGGGCTTGTCCTGAAGCCTTTTGGACATGCAGGCTCTGTGCTGAATGAGTATAATAGGTAGTCTGGATGCACCCTATTATTAAGGGGAAGGTAAGGGCCTATTTCTAACCTTTCAGAAGGGATGATATCATACTGTACAGCATGGAGTTCCATAAACCACCCTAGAGGTGTCCTGTCTAGGAAAGACTTTTAAACTTGAACAGACTATACATAATTTATTCCCAAAATGTACTGTCATGTTCAACACTACCGTATTATCTCACTATTCATTGTTAGTTCTCAGTTAATGTTTTTATTCCATTACCTATATTTCCTGAACAGGTGTATCCACATCAGAATGGATTTTCATAGTATGTAAGACCTCAGTGTGTAAATACTATGTCTATATTATTATCATATACCTGGTATGATGCTATGCTTAAAGATGTAGTAGTAAAAACGGATGTTTTGTGTAGCCAGAGCAGACAGTAGCTTGCATAATGGGATTTATCAAGCATCCCTAAGGGTACTATTTGAATAGCTACTTTGCTGGATTACCATGGGCTTCTATATTACTTTACTGACATGTGGCAGCACCAGTACCACTTCTTAAAGGCTCAGACATGAAGGCTACCTTAAGAAAGATACTTTGCAAATGTCACCTCTTAGGTCAGGACATCGCTCTGTGGTACATAGCTCTTGTCTAAAATGTACAAGCTGTAGGTTCCAGGCCCAGCACCCAAACAAACAAACAAACAAATCACCCGTTACCCCAAAAGTCAGATGACATCCTTCCCGAGTAACACAGTGACGAATTGTTCTATGAGGTCTGCTGCTGCTACTTTAAAAAGAACAGTCAAGAATACAAAAGAATTGGTTGCCAGGATCTTCTGAGAAAGGTTGGAAGAGTGCTATGTTTAGGTGAGGCTGGCTAGGGTGATATGTTTCCCAGGGGTAGGGAGAACAGATACTACAGAGGTTCTAACTTGAAGGAACAATGGAATTAAACTGCTAATTTTGCTATTTTGAGTAGGATTTGATCTGCACTTAATAGTCTTTTCATTAGAAGAAATAAGGTAATGATTATAATCTAACCACATTTCGTTTACTATCAGCTGTTACTGCACCTTCCATCGTGCAAATTCTAAACTGACAGATCCCTATTTACAATACTCTTGTGGCTTCAACAGTGTGCATTTCTTATACTGTCATCTAACAGCATAATCAGAAGCTTTGATAGAAGAGAACAGAGAGGAATCTGATTAGTAGAAAACTATTTGGAAATATTTTTCACTTTGTTTTTCCCCTATGTAAATGGATGATATAGTAGAGGGAAAAAAAGAACAGAATAAAACAAAGTAACCATTCACAGAACTGTGACCTGTGAAACCTGGAAAGACAGTGAAGGTAACAGAGTCAGTTCAACGTTTCATTTTACAGTTAAGGACACTGAAGCAGTTCTTGACTGACTTACATCATATAACTAGTTAATAGAAAAAAAAAGTCAAGAATTCAGTTTTCCAACTCACACACCAATGCTCTTTCATTCCTTATGCTTCTTCCCAATCTCCCATCCTATTCTATAGTTTCACACGTGCATTTAACCAGTATTCCATAGACCCTACATGGAGTGCCACCCTGTTCTACAAGTGGAGTGTCCAGCAGGGAAATATGGCTAGAGTACAGTCATTATCTGTGTTCACTCTTGTTAGAAGAAACCCAAGATTTCAAGGATTTCAAACAATTGAGGGATGTGGAGTTACTTATATAAAAGATTCTTTACCTTACAACAAGATTCTCTAGTCTTTTTCTAATTTAATTATGTTTTTAATTGAATTTTTTAGATTTTTCATACAATATAATTTGATGGTATTTAGATTCCCTCCTCCCTTATCCTCACTCCCCCTTATTTCATCTCACCCAATTTAATGTACTCGTTCGTGTGTGTGTGTGTGTGTGTGTGTGTGTGTGTGTGTGTGT